TTCCTATTTATAGTTTTACGAAGAGTTTCTGTCAGGGGCATTTGTATCAATTGCTTATTTTATATTGTACTTTAATGCAAGTAAATTCGTTGATAGGGTAAATAACTGGCACAGAACACGTAACTGGAGCATAACATGTAACATTAGTCTATCTTGGTATTACAATGAGATGAGCAACAGTTGTTGCACAAGGGAAGATATCGTATCGCAGTAGATTTAAAGATAATGAATAGCTTAAAAAGTTTGTAATTCAAAAGTATCGGATTTATTTGTATCGAGATTTTCTTTATCCAAAAAGTAAACATTGTCAGTATTGTACACGGGCTGGTTGATAGATCTAACTCTTATCGTATTCATTATTTCGTATATAGTTAGGTCAAATTCAGAGTTCCAAATAAAGGTTAAACCGCCACAGTGTCTATTAACCTTTGATCCTATCTTTATCTAAGTAAAAAAAAAAAAACATTTTTTTCGAATAGTAAAATTTGGATTTAAATATAGTTAATATCATAATCATAACCAGTTTTTAATTACGTAATAAAAAATTTCTGCCATCCTTATCTAACTTCATTACTAAATTATTAAAATGTGTATGAATTTCATTACCAAATTGTTTCAAGCTCGTATGAGTTTCAAGTATGTACGTCATACGTAATGTACGTAACATATCTGATATGTATGAGTTTCATTAGTAAATTTTCTGATAGGATCCACATCCAAAAATCCTAAAGTTCATGCGTATTAATGCTGATAGAATAATACATTCTTACAATGATTTAATTAATTACATATACGTGCATATGTAAAATAAACTTAATACGTAGTTTATGTATGTACGCTAATTATAAAGTTTTAAATAATATGCAAATAATAATGTTTTTTATAATGAACTGTTATGACGAATCCTCGGTATCGATATGATGACCTTTTTACTAGCTTAGTTTAATCAGAATCTCTTACGAGCAGGAATTCAATGAATATGTGAATGGAGCTCAAAAAAACCAGGATCCATTAACTCCATTCAGAGCTCCATTAACTCCATTCAGAGCTCCATTGACTCCATTCAGAGCTCCATTGACTCCTTTCACAGCTTCATTGACTCCATTGCCAACCCTGCACACGGGACAAACCTAATGTGAACAAGGAAAAAATGTGGCCCGGCCTGTTCTGCGGGGGTTAATTTTACCGACCCAATTTTATTCCTTATTTGGAAGTGTATTTAATTAAAATTAGGATTAGAACTGGTTTAAATTAAGGAAAGTACGCTCATTACTACTCTCACGACTTTTTTTATACGGATCCGTGCGATTGACTGAATTAAAACACTGTAAAAAACTTCCAATTGAGACGAGCCATTGCTCTCTCGTCTTGTTAAAGGATTATATAGGATTGCATAGGATTGTATAGGATTGTATAGGGTTGTATAGGGTTGTTCAGGTTGTTGGGTTTTGGAATAAAATCTGGGATAATTGCATTCCGTTTTAGAAACGTATAGATTGTTCAAAAAAGATACAGTGATAATGTGACATATGATTTCTGCATAATTTGATGATGATAAACAAAATTACTTTTTTTGTGCACTCTAACAGGTTTATTGCTACGTATTACTTTGTATTTATCATTATCCATAACGATAAAACAATAAATACTGGTTACTGTATACAATTTACGTAAAATTTATAACAATGTCAAATACAAGTGGAGATAATATTTCAGATGGCATCAAAGTTTCTGACAAGGTTTTGAATCTTCAAAAAGATGGTATGTTGAAATGACTAGTATAAACTATATGTAATAAAGTAGAGTGAGTTTAAAACATTAAAAACTTCAACTATAGAGTAGGATTTTTGCTAATCTGTTTTCATAAATCATAGCAAGGTCTCTTTTCACCGTAGCCAATCCTGATGCCGTCAATTTGGGGCAAGGTTTTCCAGAGTAATTTATCTTTAATATTTATGTGATATCTTTGTTATAAAATTATCTGATGAAAGTACCCGATAAATAAAAACTTTTTCATATTTCAAAAAAGTGATCCACCATCAGATCAAATAAAAGAAATCGTAGCAAGAGCAATCGCTGTGCCTGAGTGTAATCAATACGCGTAAGTTTCGATTTTTCTGAAATTAATATTTGAATAATACGTTACTGAGTAATACATTTACTTTATCATAAATAGTCCTCCTAAAGGTCGATTGCACACTCGTCAGGCATTGGCAAATGCTTTTAGTCCTTTGTTTAATAGGACCTTGGACCCTGAAACGGAAATTATTGTAACCGCTGGTGCTAATGAAGGTTAATTATTAATTTATATAAATTTGATATTTTCAAAATGCCAACTATGCTAATATAGTTTATTATTCTAGGTCTTACCGACCTTTTCGCTGCGTTCATAGACCATGGAGATCAAGCTATTTTGATTGAGCCTTTCTATGATCAATACGTTGTATGTATTCCGGCATTTCTTTTTCCAGTTTTAAATAACAATTATTTACAATTATTTATTATTTTTGTTAATATTAAGGCCAACGTCACGATGAATGGTGGTATACCTGTATATGTCCCCTTACGCCCGACCAGTGATCCAACTCAGAACATGTCATCGCGTGAATGGAAAATAGATATCAATGAACTTCGTTCTAAAATTACACCAAAAACCAAACTTATTGTTTTTAATAATCCACATAATCCAACTGGAAAAGTTTTCTCTAGGGAAGAAATGATGGAGATTGGAGCAGTAGCACAGGAATTTAATTTACTTATCATTAGTGATGAAGTGGTAAGTTTATACAACATATTATCATTAATTTTTTTATAACCCTCATTGCAGAGTATTTTTAAAACTATCTATCTTTGCATAGTATGAACGTTATTATTATGCACCAGATGTTTTCGAACGCATTGCTACTCTTCCTGGAATGTGGGAGCGTACAATCACTGTTGGTGATTGTGGTAAGACTTTTGGAACAACCGGTTGGTGTGTTGGATGGTTAATCGGACATAAAGATTTGATTAAAGCTTCACTATCCGCACATACTAGAATTGTGTTTTGCGTGAATTCTCCTCTTCAGGTTTTAATCTTATATACATTGGTTTATATTTTATTTACATATTTACCATTAACGATAACACTATTATGATAAATAGGAAGCAATAGCCATTCTATTTGAAGAAATTAATCAGAAAGAATATTTCGATCGCCAAATTTCTGCTTATACATCAAAACGTGAAAATTTAATGTCTACATTATCATCCATTGGAATACCATATACAATTCCCCAAGGAAGTTATTTCGTACTAGCCAACACTTCAAAGATTCAAATACCTCAAGATTATGAGTTTCCCAAAGATTTTATTAACGCTCCAAAAGATTTTAGAGTTTGTTATTGGCTGGCTAAAGAAATTGGCATTATAGCAACACCACCAAGTGAATTTTATTCGCCAGAACATAAACATATTGTGGAAGATTTTATAAGGTTTGCATTTTGTAAATCTAATGAAACTTTGGACCTTGCCGCTGAAGTTTTCAACAAGTTGAAGCCATATGTTAAGAAGTGTTAATTTTGTAATTGTAAGAATTTGGATTAAAATGTGAATCTATGATATATTATTCTCGAAATTATTCACGTCTTTACAAACAGATAACCTTGTTTTGTACAAAATAAATATTCTTACTTTTATTAAATATATCATTTTATCTACACTTTTTTTTTGCTATCAAAAATGAACTTTTTATTGACGTTTACTAAAATATCATTCCGCATGTGTTTATTTACTGTATTAAAATATTTTATGTATTTAAAGATAAGATCCCAAGTTGATGTTTTAAAAATAAGTTGGGATCCCAAGTTGATGATTCAAAATACGCAATACGGAATAAAACCAAACCATTTTATAAAACGTTATAAAATTAAGACCCATTTTAAGAGAATTGGAAAGACAATGCTTAGTATAATTCTATTTCAAATTCTTGATATTAGAGGTTTTATTTCTTTATACTTAAATGCATTCGTTAAAAAAAGGAAATATTCGAATCTAAATTTTGAATCAATCTTTCCAGATGCGCTCGTGAATATTTGATGCAATCAAAATTATTTACAAAATAGTATTATTGCATTTAGTGCGTCTAAACTAATAAGAATCTGCGTTTGTCGTTACGGTCAATGAATTATTAAATAGTATAAAAGCAGCCAGCATATAAAAATCGTGTCAGAGAAATGGATTTGCATTTGCAACTTTCTATTATAACAAATAAAAATAGTTGAACATTCTCTATTCATTTTCGTTCTCCCATATTTTGCTATAAGCAACGACTTCATGATTTTCTGATTTCTCAATATGCTCCATGTTTTTGCCTAATTTAACTGCTTTTACATATGCACCCACAAAATTTAATGCCGATTCCTTCAGTGGTATACAATGATCTTTATTCCGACAAAACATTAATATATCCTCAAAATTCAATTCGTTCACCATTCCACACATATGATTAACCACCAGTTTTAGCAAATCTATTAATCCCATCATATCAGCTTGCATGTAAACTTCTTTCATCAATTCAAGGTCATTACTTACATCCATCAATTTATTTCCATAAATATAAAATAAGATGACCCTAAAAGCTTTATATCCTATATTATGTATTCTAACGCATTCGGATGTGGACTCTCTCCAACCACCTTGCAACATTTTCTCGAAATAAGTTGAACCAGCGATCAAAATAACTTTATGAGCTTTAATTCTAGTGCCACAATCCAAAAGGATTTCTATATCAGCTAGTGTTTCATTCTCAAAAAATTTTTCCATTTTACATTCATATCCTTTATCGTTATCCATATGTTTATAATCGTTGAATAATAATAAATGAAAAATTAAATCAAATTCTTTTAATTTATTATCATCAGGAAATATTTTTGTAAATGATAAAAATCGATTATATCCATAATCTTTATAATTATCGAATCCAAATTGATATCCCATATATCTTGAATTCGAAGGTAAATCAACCAATAGCCCTATGTTATCAGTTTCATTAGAATTATTTGTGTCTTGCGAAACATGATCAATTATTTCTACTTGTAATCGAAAATTTCGTCCTCGAGTTAATATCTTATTATGGTACTCATAAGGTGTTTGCACAGCTTCAAGAAATATATCAACAAAATTGGTTTGTTGATTGCCATTAGGGTAAACCTTCAGTCTCCATAAACTGGTATAGGGAACCCAGAATTTTTTGCTATAAAAATATCTTCTGTGTGAATATTCTTTTATCGCTTTCTGAAAATTAGGAATTCTCCAACTATATGTGCTCACATATGGATTATTTGGTGATGTCATTGCAATGTCATATTCTTTTTCAAACATTTCTTTTTTTTATTTTTTTTGTGATTATTAATATGTAATTTGGGAAGAAAGAAAATGAAGATTATTACATATATGTTTTTTATTTAGTAGCGTTATTATCTCTTTTTGTGATTGGTACGACTAAGATTTGTTCGGCAGTACATTGTAAATATAATGAACTGCTGAATAGGGCATAATGATATGTATTTTTTATTCCTTATTTTTACGTCAAAGATCGGCAAGCATAATGAAAATTTTAGAATCTTTATTGTATAATATATAACGATAATAACATAACTTATACAAATTATAAGTAACGAAACTTTGGAATTTCAAGTTTATTATTTATTATTTACCAGATTCAGCCTTTGAAAAACCTGATTAACGGTATATAATGTATGATAGTAATTAAATTTAATTACTTATTACTGTTATATATGTTGCCGTCAGGTTGAATCTGGTAAATAAAAAATAATAAAGCCTGAAGTCTCATTTTCCTCAGAGTTTATTAATACTGTATATTAATACTGTAAATGGGCGGATAAAAAACCGAGTCTCTTACATTTCACCAATATTTAAAACTTATAATAAACCCAAGGCATAGCACATTGGGGTGTGCGATAAACTATGTAAATCAAAACTATGTGTGGTCACTTATTGGCTGGAGCTGAGGGAGCGAAGTGGAAGCCTTAAAGCTATACTCTACGAATTTTTAGAAATGTCCGGTTCCCGGTTCAGCTGATCCAAATTTAAGGTTGTGTATTCAAAAATTGAACCTAAATTAGGTTCAATTTTGGATACTAAAATTTTAATTTAAAATGTAGCAGCTGATTTTTCAAAAACTAAAACTTTAATTTAAAATGTAGCAGCTGACTTTTAAAATACATTGTAACAAATAAGCACATTAAATAAAATAAAATGTAGCAGCTGACTTTATCATTCGCTGGAGCCGAGAAAAGCGAAGTGAAAGCCTTCAAGCTATACTCTACGAATTTTCGGAAATATCCGGTTCCCGGTTACACTGATCCAAATTTTAGGTCGTGTACTCAGAAATTGAACCTAAATCAAGTTCAACGTTTAGATAATAGTAGTTGACTTTTAATAGAATATATTAACTAAATAAATTACACGTAAAATATAGTAGCTAACTTTTAATAGAATATATTAACTGACTTTTAATAAAAAAAAAAATTGTTTATCAGTGAAATAAGAATTTATATTGTCATAAATATGCCATCGCATTGTAGGCAAGTATATCTAAAAAACAAACCATTGTTTTTTTTTAGTTTAGTCAAAATGTAAAAGCAAAAAAGAATTTACGCACCCGAGCAAATAGCTATAAAAAATGAAACTTGAAGAAACGAAAAAGTTTAATGACTGAAGAACAGTCAAAAAAGTGAATCAGAAAAGAGATAGGTTCGTCGCAAATGTCACATCTCATATCGATAATATTAAAGCGAAAGAGAACATAAATCAAGACGAACGAACAAATGAAAAGGGTAGCCTAAATAAAAAAAAATACTATGTTTAAATCAAATTTTGAATGAAATAATTAAGTCTACAATGTAATAAATTATTTTCGAAAGCAAAATATTAACTGCATATCAACTTAATGATAATGATCTTGACCTTTTCAAAAAGTTTCGAGATGCTGTCGCCCTACTTATAATTTTTTTCTTCGGTTATTGGCTAGAGCTGAGGGGAACGACGTGAAATCCTTCCTTACACTACTGAATTTTTGAAAAATGCAGTCTCGCTTCACCCTGACCCAAATTTTAGGCTCAATGGCCAGGATCGATCGTAAGTTAGGTTCAACGTTTGGATACCTGAATTTTGAGTTAAAATATAATAGCTGAATTTAATAGAATATATAACTGACTTTTAATAAAAGAATATATAACTAACTTTTAATAAAAGAATAGTTTTCATACTCTACTGAATTCTAGAAATGTCCACTCCCACTTCACCCTGCCAAAATTT